AATGTAGCACTTGTATTTGAAGGAACAGTTCATCCAAAAGAATATTAATGTTATTAATGTTATGACTTTAAAAAATGGAGTCGGGATGCTCTGTGATGGATTTAGAGAGGACTCAGAAGCGAGGATGACAATCACAGCTCCTTTAATAACAAATGGCAGGATGACCACAGGTACGTGTAACAGAGGAATTATATTTAACAGCAACAGAAGGTTCCTGTAGAACAGGCAGTCGAACTTGAACAGAAACTCCTTCTGTGGTCCAGGCAAAGATGAGCAGAGAGCTGGAGCAGTAGGGACCCAGAAACCCTCAGGGCCGGGATAGCGAGCAATGAAGAAGGAACACAGCCTCAGACTCCTAGCAGGTATGGTTCTGGAAGTATATCGCATGGACACAGAATAATACTCGAAGTAATCAGAGATATGTTATTAGACAGGACTGGACTGGACTCAGACAGATGCACGCATCGAAACTTACGAACAAACTGACAACAAGACAAGGAAGAGAAGGTAAGAAAAAGCCAAGATAATGAGGGGGGAACGAGAGACAGGTGAAGAGAGATGAGCCTAATGAAAAGTGATAACAGCTGTCAGTAATGAAAGTGAAAGCGGCAAGTGAGTGAGTGAACGAATAACCAGCAGGGGGAGACAGAGAACGAGCCAGGATCATGACAGTACCCCTCCTCAAAGAGCGCCACCTGGCGCTCCCTAGGAGGAACCCTGGCGAGACCGGAGGAAATCATCAATGAGCGAGGGGTCCAGGATGTCCCGGGGGAAACCCAGCTTCTCTCCTCAGGCCCGTACCCCTCCCAATCGACCAGGTACTGATGTCCTCGACCCCGACGACGCATATCCAAGATCTTACGGACAGTATAGACAGGAGAATCCTCCACACGGACTGCCGAGAACGCGGTACGAGAAGTCGAGCGATTGACGGGCTTAACGCAGGAGACGTGGAAAACCGGGTGGATACGACGAAGGTTGGGAGGTAAATGAAGCTTGACGGCGACAGGATTAATAATCTTGACTATACGGAATGGCCCGATAAAACGGGGAGCCAACTTGCGAGAGTCGGACTGAAGAGGTAAATTGGAAGTGGAGAGCCACACTCTCTGGCCAACACAATAGCGGGGACTCTTAATGCGATACTTATTAGCCGAGATGCTCATACGTCTCCTAGCACGACAAAGGGACGATCTCACTCTCCTCCAAGTACGCCTGCAGCGACTGATGAACGTCTGAACGGAGGGACAGTTCGACTCTGTCTCTTGCGAGGGAAAAAGCGGAGGTTGGTAGCCGAGACAACAGTGAAAGGGTGAGAGCCCCGTGGCAGAAGATGGGAGAGAGTTGTGTGAGTATTCTGCCCAGGGAAGCTGCTCAGCCCAAGACGCAGGATTACGGAACGCCAGACTGCGGAGAATGCGGGCCACAATCTGATTGGCACGTTCGGCCTGACCGTTAGTCTGGGGATGAAACCCTGAAGAGAGGCTGACGGTGGCACCAATAAGACGACAAAATTCTTTCCAGAATTGTGATGAGAATTGCGGGCCCCTATCAGAAACGACGTCGGTGGGCAAACCGTGCAATCTGAAAACATGATTAACCATTATCTGGGCGGTCTCCTTGGCAGAGGGAAGCTTGGCGAGAGGAATGAAGTGCGCGGACTTCGAAAAACGGTCGACCACAGTAAGAATGACGGTATTACCGGCCGACGCAGGGAGACCCGTGATAAAGTCGAGCGCTATATGAGACCACGGACGAGTAGGAACTGGTAGCGGGCGTAACAGACCAGCGGGCGGAGAATTACCAGCCTTGGTCTGGGCACAGACAGAACAAGAAGCGATAAAGCGACGCGCGTCATGAACTAAGGTGGGCCACCAAAAGCGTTGGCGAATAAGCGCGATAGTGCCCCGAACGCCGGGATGGGCTGACAATTTGGAAGAATGTCCCCACTGGAGGACGGCTAGGCGAGTGGGCACCGGAACGAATAAGGAGCCTCTAGGGCAGTCGCGCGGAGTGACGGCATGGGCAAGAGCACGCTTCACCTGTCTCTCGATTCCCCAAATCGCCGCTCCCACCACACGACCAGGAGGAATAATCTCCTCCCGGGTGGAAGAAGAGGAGGAGGAACCAAAGAGGCGAGACAGCGCGTCCGGTTTAACATTCTTGGACCCGGGCCGATAAGAGATGGAGAAGTCGAAGCGCGTAAAAAACAGCGACCAGCGAGCCTGGCGTGCGTTCAGTCTCTTTGCGGAACGGATGTATTCCAAATTTCGATGGTCGGTCCAGACGACAAAAGGAACGGAGGAACCCTCCAACCACTGGCGCCACTCGCCTAAAGCCAGGCGAATGGCGAGCAGTTCCCGATTGCCGACATCGTAATTACGTTCCGCGGAAGACAGACGGTGCGAAAAAAAAGCGCAAGGATGTACCTTGTTATCGGAGGCTGACCGCTGAGAAAGAACGGCGCCTACCCCCACCTCCGACGCGTCGACCTCGACAATAAACTGTCTAGTGATATCCGGCATGATCAGAATGGGTGCGGTGGTAAAGAGAACCTTTAGACGGTCAAAAGCCTCTTGAGCGGATTCTGACCACCTAAAACAGGACTTAACTGAGGTCAGGGCGGTGAGCGGCGCGGCTACTTGACTGAAATTGCGTATAAAGCGGCGATAAAAATTAGCAAAACCAAGAAAGCGCTGTAACGCGACACGAGAATCAGGAACGGGCCAGTCAACTACCGCCTGGACCTTAGACGAATCCATACTGATTCCCTCAGCCGAGATGACCGAACCTAAGAATGTAACGGAAGGCACGTGAAAAGAGCATTTCTCAGCCTTTACAAAGAGGCGATTCTCGAGTAAGCGCTGAAGTACGCGGCGTACATGCTGCACATGGACTTGGAGGGAGGGTGAGAAAATCAATATGTCATCGAGATATACAAACACGAACACGTTTAGCATATCCCGAAGGACATCGTTGACAAGGGCTTGAAAGACGGCGGGGGCGTTGACCAAACCGAACGGAAGGACCCGGTATTCAAAGTGCCCGAGGGGTGTATTAAAAGCGGTCTTCCACTCGTCCCCTTCTTTAATTCGTACGAGATGGTAAGCATTGCGAAGATCAAGCTTAGAAAAAATCGTTGCTCCCTGCAGGATCTCGAAAGCTGAAGACATCAGTGGTAAGGGATAGCGGTTCTTAACCGTGATGTCATTCAGCCCCCGATAATCTATGCAGGGACGCAAAGAGCCGTCTTTTTTCTTGACGAAGAAAAAACCCGCACCGGCCGGAGACGAGGACGGGACAATAGTGCCAGCCCTGAGAGAGTCAGACAAATAATTCTCTAACGCCTCCCGTTCAGGAACCGAGAGAGAATAAAGTCTTCCCCGAGGGGGCGTGGTACCCGGGAGAAGCTCAATACCACAATCGTAGGGGCGGTGAGGAGGGAGAGAAGTGGCCCGGGAACGACTGAATACCTCCCGCAAATCGTGATACTCCTCCGGTACTCCAGACAAATCCCCTGCCCCTTCCTGAAACACAGAAACAGAAGACACAGGAGGAACAGCAGACACAAGACAATCAACATGACACGATAACTTCCAAGACAAGATAGAGCCAAGGGACCAATCGATATGGGGATTATGACGTTTAAGCCAGGGATGACCTAATACTACTGGAGTAAAGGGCGAACGAAAAACAAGAAAAGAAATAGTCTCTCGATGATTACCAGAAACGGTAAGAGTCAGTGGAACGGTCTCACTTAGAACCCTAGGTAGGGAACTACCGTCTAGGGCGAAAAGGGAGGTTGAATGCTTTAAATAGGTGAGGGGAATACCCTGCTGCCGGGCCCACTCCTCATCCACGAAATTTCCCTCGGCCCCAGAGTCGATCATGGCAGAGCAGGAGACAGATGAACTGGACCACTGAAGATGCACAGGTAGAGTAGTGCAAGAGTCTGAAGGGATCTCTCTAGAGATTGCGCTCGCCAGTAACCCTCCGCCTACTGACGAGCGCTGGCTTTTACTGGGCACGACAAAGCAAAGTGGTCGGGAGCAGCACAGTACATACAAAGTCGATTAACCAGTCTCCTCTCCCGTTCCTTAGGGAGATTCGCAGACCTCCAAGCTGCATGGACTCGGGATCCGGACTCGGAGAGGGTATAACGGAACCAGCAGTAGGCGTGGCCCCCAGGACAGACTCCATGCGGCGAGCTCGGCGTCGTAAGTCGAATCTCTTCTCCACTCGAATCGCCAGTTGAATGAGCTCGTCGATCCGAGCGGGGACCTCTCGGATAAGGATCTCCTCTCTCAGCTCGGAGTTGAGACCCTCCAGAAAACGAGCGACCAACGCGGGTTGGTTCCAGCCACAGGTGGTAGCTAGAGTCTGAAATTCTATGGAGAAAACAGAAACCGAGCGCCTCCCCTGCCGGAGAGAAGACAGCAACCGCGAAGCCTCCTCTCCGTGAGCAGAACGGTCGAAAACCCGGATCATCTCGTCCTTAAACAGTGCGAAACTGAAGACGCAATCCCTCTCCGCCTCCCAGTTAGCCGCTGCCCATTCCCGTGCCCGGCCGGCGAGAAGGGAGATAACGTACGCCACCTTAGTGCGTTCCTTCGCGTACGTCAATGGTTGCAGGGAGAATATTACCTCACATTGGGTCAGAAACGACCGACACTGTGTGGCCTCACCCAGGTACATGGGCGGATTATTTATCCGGGGCTCCGGAGAGTCATGAGACCCCAGCGAGGAGGGAGGCTGGAGACGCAAGTTGTGGACCTGACAGGAAAGATCCGTCATCTGGGCGGCCAAAGTCTCGACCGCGTGTCTGGCTACGGAGATGTCCTCCTCATGCTTGCCCAGGAGAACACCCTGATGTTTGACAGCGGACTGGAACGCGTTGCCATTCGCTGAGTCCATTCTTGGTCAGTTTGTTCTGTGATGGATTTAGAGAGGACTCAGAAGCGAGGATGACAATCACAGCTCCTTTAATAACAAATGGCAGGATGACCACAGGTACGTGTAACAGAGGAATTATATTTAACAGCAACAGAAGGTTCCTGTAGAACAGGCAGTCGAACTTGAACAGAAACTCCCTCTGTGGTCCAGGCAAAGATGAGCAGAGAGCTGGAGCAGTAGGGACCCAGAAACCCTCAGGGCCGGGATAGCGAGCAATGAAGAAGGAACACAGCCTCAGACTCCTAGCAGGTATGGTTCTGGAAGTATATCGCATGGACACAGAATAATACTCGAAGTAATCAGAGATATGTTATTAGACAGGACTGGACTGGACTCAGACAGATGCACGCATCGAAACTTACGAACAAACTGACAACAAGACAAGGAAGAGAAGGTAAGAAAAAGCCAAGATAATGAGGGGGGGAACGAGAGACAGGTGAAGAGAGATGAGCCTAATGAAAAGTGATAACAGCTGTCAGTAATGAAAGTGAAAGCGGCAAGTGAGTGAGTGAACGAATAACCAGCAGGGGGAGACAGAGAACGAGCCAGGATCATGACATGCTCACCAATGCTTCATTTATTTGACCGAAAATAAAGTAAAAACAGTAATATTGTGAAATAACGTTACAGTTTAAAATAATATTTTGAAATGTAATTTATTCCTGTGTTGGAAAACCGAGTTCAGCATCATTACTCCAGTCATCAACTTTTGAAAAGTGGTGCATACATAAACATAATATTTATACTATGCTGTTTTGAAATGATTATTCAAAACTTTGTTTCACAAAAAAAATTAAACAACACACGGATGAGTAAATAATATCAGATTTTAGATGTTTTGGCATGAACTATTCTCTTAAAGGAAGGATACATCTGAATCCCGAGGCCTTAGAGCTAAGGAAAGAGGGAGGGAGAAAAAGAAAGGAAAATAGTCTTTGTTCTGTTATTCGCATACAGCGTTGCAGTTGCTATGGGAGACAGTGGAAAAAGAAGAACAGAATATTCAAGTGTAAATCGCAGCTGCTAAAGGGAGAGATTTGAGAAAGTTATGGTTAGCAATGGTCATCTCTCTCTCTCTCTCTCTCTAACAGCTGTACTTTCCACCAGAAAAGTCGTCTCTTCTTTTTCCGACCGTGTTGAGGCGACTGCTGGGTGCTGGGCAGTTGTGTGGCGGCTCAACGCTGCTATATTCAGGCCTGCTGTTAATAGCTCCCTCTCTATTTCAGTCTCTCCTTCCTGCCACTGCGGAACAAGAGCGCTCCAGCTAATTAAAACCGGCTCACACCCCTGAGCCGCATCCCGTATGTGTGGCGCTCAGGTCCGGGTGGGTCAGCATCAGGAACAGGGGCCATGCATTGTCCCCAGCATTCCCTGGTGGTCACCTACTTTCCATAACGGTCCTGGGTTTCCATAACACTTCCGAATGCTTTCATGACTCTCGGCCGGTTATGACCGACGTCTCCTTGTGTGTTCCGACTAGACGCCGCATGCTGGGAAGGACACAGCACGCACATATACGAATTGCCACGGGAGGTGGGGTCGTTCAAGTTCGTCCTGTTGTGTGTCATCCCCTATTTAGGCTATTTTTAACGGCCCCCTTCCGAATTATTTCTTTATTAATAACACAATTGTTTCTACGGGCCACAAGCCGGAAACATGGGGCCATTTATTTGTTTTATTTGATTTGGTGTTTACCCAAATATTATGATGTAAACGGACCATTGATTATTTGGTTTCTCTTCAACAATTCTTGTTGACTGCAAGTATTATGGATATACAAAATGGGAGAACATGGAAAATGCAGCATTACGAAACAGCAGATGGGGAAATAGAGATTCTTCAACTTCCTGCTTGTAGGAAATGACTAATCACAAATGAGAGTTAAAAAGATTGCTTGTCTCTCAGCGTTCTGTAAAATGTATTGAATTTTGAATAGAGAAGATTAAAAAAAAATCTAATGGAAACTATATCATACACTAGCCTACCATTCAAAAGTTTAGTGTTGGTAAGATTTTGTAATGTTTTTGATTGAAGTCTTATGCTCACCAAGGCTGCATTTATTTGATCAAACATATAGGGAACCGTAAAAAAAAGTTATATTGTGAAATATTTAGTAATATTACTTTATGCTATGTTAGCGTTGCATTAGCATTGCTGCTAAAAATGTCTGTAAGTGATTCGTTTTTAAATAGGCCTACCTCTTATAAAATGTCCAGACAGATGAAATGGGTGTCTTGAGAAATCATTTGTCTCTGTTATCATGACTGTAAGATCTGTAAATGAAAAAGACAAGCTAATCAAGCTAACCTTAGTGATTTAAAAAAATGGCCTCAAAATTAGCATCAGAAATGCTGTCTGCAGCATTCAAAAGTTTAGTGTTGGTAAGATTTTGTAATGTTTTTCATTGAAGTCTTATGCTCACCAAGGCTGCATTTATTTGATCAAACATATAGGGAACCGTAAAAAAAAGTTATATTGTGAAATATTTAGTAATATTACTTTATGCTACTTTAGCATTGCATTAGCATTGCTGCTAACAATGTCTGTAAGTGATTCGTTTTTAAATAGGCCTACCTCTTATAAAATGTCCAGACAGATGAAATTGGTGTCTTGAGAAATCATTTGTCTCTGTTATTATGGCTGTAAGATCTGTAAACGAAAAAGACAAGCTATTCAAGCTAACCTTAGTGATTTAAAAAATTGGCCTCAAAATTAGCATCAGAAATGCTGTCTGCTTGTTTCTGTGTAGGCTTGCTAACAAATGTTTGGCTGTCATACATTTTCGAAGTAGAAAAAGTGGGGTTAAAGTTAGCAGAATGATAGAAATTAGCATAACAGCTAAAATAGTGTCTTTTCAAATCAACGGTTGAGATGTTCCTAGGCCTCTCATGCTGCAAAAAAGAGAGATAGAGAAGAAGAGAGAAAGTGACAGAGAATAGTGGGGTTAGCTACAATAATAAATGGATTACCAAGTCAAAAAGACGACCCACACACATTCTTGTCTGAACTGGCTAGTTCAGCATCAGTCAGTGCCACACACACTCATCCCCAATCAATCTTTCATTTCTCTTCTCATCTTTTGTTTCCCTTTCATTTCTTTTAAGAGTTTGCGACCTCTGCATCTCCCTGAATGAGTGTGTGTATGTTTCCTATTCTGTGTGAGTGTGTGTTTGTTTTGGCGCTTCTTTCGGGTCCGTCACATGTAGAGGCATGTGTGTTTGACTCTGCAGAGACTACCGAAATACCTTGCAGTGTTCCACTGCCCCCAAGTAATACTGAGCACCAATGTGTGTGTGTGTGTGTGTGTGTGTGTGAGCCCCCCGTCCCATGCAAGCCATCTGTCTGGAAACAGGACATGCCTGCACACACACACATATAAATTCACACATGCACACTAATCCAGTTATTGATGTGTCTGTACAGGAACTAAACAACTAGTCATTTTGAGAGTTTGATATATATATATTTTAGTTTTGAGAGCGGGACACAAGAAAACTAGCCTAATTATACAAGGACCGATTAGTTGACATTCATTAAACCCACCAACAAGTCGATTTTGAAAATAAGTCGCTTTGTCACCCACCCTGCTCCCACTCTCTTTCTCTTTCTGTCTATTCCTTCATATGAGGAATGGGAGAAATCTCTCTCTCTGACTCTTTCTATCTCGCTATGGTTGATTTTATGAGGTCATAAACGCTGGAATTTTTTGGTGAGGCTCTCTGAATATTTTTATGAGCACACTCACGACGGCGGCTCCTTTGACAGCGCTGAAAGGCAGTCATTAAAAAGAGAGCGAGAAAAGAAGGCAGAAGGGAAAAAACGAGTCCTGGCTGAAAGAGGCTTCTCTCCTGAGGGGGTTTAAACTGTCACTGCATTTGAACTTTGCTAGAAACGACTGCCATCTGCAAGCCGAAAAGCAAGTTCACTACTGTCTCACACTCCGAGGAAAGTTTATAATCACACCATTTACTGGTGACAAAATCAGAATTGTTAAATACTTCAATTTTTAGTAAGTTGATAGGTTGCGATTTGGCCCAGGCTTATTTATTATCATCCTTTAGAATATAATATAATATAAACATTATAATATAATATAATATAATATAATATAATATAATATAATATAATATAATATAATATAATATAATATAATATAATATAGTATAATATAATATAATATAATATAATATAATATAATATAATATAAACATTATAATATAATATAATATTTTAAATGTTTATTATCAATAGATTAAGCCATCAATCAGTGCGTTTATCATCCATTACACCAAATTTATATTTATAATTAAAATACTAAAAAATATTTGTATATTTTTTCAGTCATTGAACAAAGAAATACAATTGTACATTTGACATAGCATTGTAACCACAGCTTTGTTTTTCTTTTTTTTTTTTTTTTTTAAATCACCAACAGACAAAACCATATACATTTATGAAATTATTATATTGGTTATCAGCTCTCAATCAAAAAGAAAAAAAAAGAAAAAAAAAGCTGATTGTAACAAGAGATTAGAGATCTGGCTATTAGTAGACATGAGGTAAGACACGGTAGAAGAAAGAAACATACACTGATAGATCAATAAGCGTCCATTAGGGTCCGGCCTCAGCAATTTCAACAACTTTTGAAAAACATTGAAATGTGATTATCTTGCTCTTAGATGCTTTTAACTTTGAGAGTAAATGAGTCATAGATTTATGCCTCTCTCTGGATTCCTCTTTTTCCTCCCCTCGTCTGCATGCACCCGAGGGCTCTCTCTCTCTCTCTCTCTCTCTCTCTCTATATATATATATATATATATATATATATCACTCTCTTTCAGCTGCTGTACGGTTTGCATTGGCAGCTTCTAATTTTGCAGATTGGAATGTTGAATTTGTTGTTTTACTACAATGAGATGTGTGATGATGAAAGCAGGACTTGAACAGTCTGAACTACGGATTTGCCCCCAATGTGTCCGAAGGGAACAGGGTCTACTGAGTTCCCACACAAGCCATTGCCAAAGCAAATTTGGAGAGGAAGTGGAACCCTATCCCTCCTCTCTGGTGTGACCAAGTTTAGAAAACACCAGGTTTATGTGTGTGTGTGTGTTTATAGTTGAATATGCAAGCAAGCAGCTGCACAGAACGACTCACTTGTGATGTGGTTTGGTGTGTGCGGCGGCGTTTGTCTGTTGAATTTGGAAATGGAGTCCGTGCTGGACCCTGCTAGTGCGATTGCTGGAGATAGTCCTTATTTAGTTGCTTTGCCTTGTGTTGTGGTGCGCAGTGTTGTGTGGCCTTGTTATGTCTGGAGCCACTGGACTCTTCCTGGAAGTCCAACCTCAACACACACACACACACAACACAGACACTAATGACAGGCCTGAGTCCTCTGCCGAGACCTTTGTCCGACAATGTACAGCGATAGACTTCTAGCACCATGCAATCTGAGTGCTAAAAATAGCTCAGACGTCATGTGTATACCAGAAGTGTCCCAAAAAATCATTTATTAATCATTTCTAATACAAATGTTTAAAAAATAAATTAATAATATAATAATAATATTTTATTCATATATAAAAATATATTATAAATTATTATTAATAATATTATATTAATTATGAATCATTAAATACATAATTTAATTGAGTTTCTTTTTAAAAATACATATTATTGTTTTTAATTATTAAATATTTATGTTTTATTTCAGTACTTTTTAGTACAGTACTTTTTCATTTAGCTTTAATACATTTTATATCAGTTTTAGTTATTTCAGTACTTTAAACTTATTTTAAGTTTCCCCTTCCCCATTCTTATTTGAAACTGGATTCTGTGTGAACGCTTTGTGAACTGAATCCACAGGTAAGCAAACAGGGTTAAACACAATCAAGTGTCTCACAGAAGTCTCACAGTGTGACAGCCAAACATCTGATAGGCTGGGAAAGTGAGACATCTGTATGTGTGTGTGTTGGCATAGATGGGGAGGTGTTTTGTCTAGCAGTGTTGTGTACAGATGCTCATTCCTAATGAGCTGGGTACCGGCCCAGAGTGCAGGTCTCACACTGTGAAACGACTCATTTCACAGTTTCACTTTACACCTCTTCCTCCCCAAAACAACACGTGTTCACCACCAATCGTACCGTGTTCCTTTAGGAAGAACCTTGAATAACATGACAGGGACTGGATACCCCAAACAATTTTACATACGTCGTTGTTGCAAAGAAAGTTCATTCCTAGAATTGTCCAAGTTAAATGTGAGATATCACTCTTTAATAAACCACGTAATGCAACATCGTGGACCATGTGGATCACGTTCAGTCTGACACCTGTAGGCTTAAGGTTTCTGTGGTCACTGCCCGGTGAGAAATATGACAGCCCGTTTTGAAGACTGCAAGAGATGCATGGAGAGAGGGAGAGCTGCGCTCTGTTAGTTTTACAGGAAGTTCCTCCCTTCCGGCTGAGGCCTGTAGCTTCGCTCAAGGGGGAGGCCATGTTCAGGTCACAGAGAGGGTGGAGTATCGCGCACACACAAACAGAAAACTGGTTTGCTCTTTTGGCGTTCACACTTGCGTGGATACACAAGCTTGTCACACAAGCTTCCAAGAAACCATCTGATTGTCTTAACCTGTCTCACAGTTAAATAGAAACATTCATTAATCAAACCTGTCTGTGGATACCAGAACTTTACAGACACGAGAACAAAACAATGCACGGTAGTCACAACATTTGCCATTCGACTCCACTCAATCATCAGCAGATATTTACGACTCTACATTCTGATTGGATGAGCAGTCTGAAAACATTTTTAAGAATTTAAAAGAAATGTCAATAAAATGATTAATGCACCATTTGGATCTTTTTTGTGTGTAATTAACTATACTACTTTAATAGTTCAGTTATTTGCTTTGAATGTGAATACAAGTATTGTTAATACTTATATTGTATTATTAATTTTTAGACACAACATGAATCCTAAGAAAAATATAAATAGTGACATTTTTCTTAGGCTTCATTCTGTCGAAAAATATTGCTAAAAAACAATTAATATTAATTATTACTACTAATTGTTATTATTATTATTTTTGTACAGTTAAATGTATTACTGGAATACTTCAGTTCTAAGCTTTGAATTATGATTAGTTATGATAATTATGAATCATAATATTTCATACACAACATAAAGCATAGGGAATTTATTTGATATTTATTAATGCTAATATATATTGATGCAAAATCTATTATGTTGGTTAATGTTAAAATTATTTTTAGGCTTGATGTTGGGCATTAAACTCCCTTACCTGTAGTAAAATCACATTCATTTAAAGGCAATACCACAGAGACCCTATAAGAAGATTGGGAAGTTTCTGTAAGTTGTGTTTGTTTGGAGTGCGATTGCTTGTTTAAGAGGGAAATCCTGCAATCTGTGTCACAGGAAACACAGGACTAGACAGGGAGGGGTGGCATTGTGAGGATGACGAGACAGGAGAGGTGATTTAGCAACTCAGTTAGCTAGTTCAGTAGGCTAATTGTGTGTAATGTAGCAAGAAGTGAACGTTCGTGTGGGTGTTTAGCCCTTCGAAACACATTTCCTTTGTCATCCCTCAAGCGAGCAACAAAAAAACCTTAGCAAAAACCTTTCTTTCATTCTCACACATGTGCAAGGCAGAATGTGTGTGTGTGTGTGTGTGTGTGTGTGTGTCACCCCGCCCTTCCTCAGACACCTGCAGTTTTAAACCACATTGCAGAAACTTGTCCATCCCGTGTGTACTGTTTTTAGAGTCTGTGGGTCATAGTTAGTCAAGTTGAAGGCGTATATGCACTCCATACCAAAGATAGCACAATGAAAGCCGAGTGTGAGATTCCTTAGAAAGACGAAATGGAGACAATGTATTTGTGCATTTTTTCAGAGCTCATGTCTAAGTACGTCTCTCGCTGCTGCGTCCTTCTTCCTATCAAGAGGTGTGATTTCCTGTCTGCATGTCTCACAGTCCTTTGGATGTCTGTCTGTATGCTTTCCGTCACATTTAACACAAACACACACACAAGCTAAAATTCTACATAGGTTGGTGCCATTTTCGTACCCTCAAACACATTGTTTAATATGGGAATGGAAACTAGTTTAAAAGGGCAGGGGGCATTGGAAAGAGGTCCCTTTGCCTCCAATCAGATGAAAGAAAGAGGAAGCAACGACTGTGAAAACTGATAGACGGAGACTCTGATAATACTCTCCCGGTCTCAAATGCTGTCCTCTTCAAGTCCACACTTTAGTGAGGTGGTGGTCTTTTTAATCTGTTTGTCCCATCTTCTAAACTCCCAATGCGTTCGAGAGCGGGGTTCGTCTAATCAAGCCCAGAGAGAGAGAGAATGATCTGGGTGAAGTGACTGGTGTGGGCTGATGTGCTTCAGAGAAGACAGGCTGCTAGAAGGATGTTGTTCTGTTCATAGGTCATTTCCTCTCTCCTGCAGTGTGGCCTGACTGGTCACCTGACTGTCTGCATTTGGCATGATCTTATAAGTTTGATTAATAGAGTCTAGTATACTGTTAATTTATTCATTACATGGCACAACTAGGGATGCACTATATTTTGTTATTGCATTTTATTGTTATCGGTCAATATTGAGCATTTAATTGTACGTATCTTACAAAATATATTACAATGTTGTGATGCCGAAATTAACTTGTAGCATTTAAAACAATTCAGTTTAGTTTTTTATAATTTTATTTAAACTATAACACACACACACACACACACGTCTGTGTGTATACATACTAATAATAATATTAGTAAATATAACAATATAGTAATAATAACAAATGTGTATAAATATGTATATAATATATAAATATATAAATCATTTGTATTTACTTTATATATATATGAAGAGTTCAGATGCAAAAGCCTCTAAATGCCATTTGAAATTTTCTTCTAAAATGATAATTTTTATCAAGCTTGTATATTTAAGTTCAGTAATTTCACTTAAATGGCAATGAAGATTACCTATTAATTGTCATTTAAGTGAAATTACTGAACTTAAATATACAAGCTTGATAAAAATTGTCATTTTAGAAGAAAATTTCAAATGGCATTTAGAGGCTTTTGCATCTGAACTCTTCATATATATATATATATATATATATATATATATATATATATCTTAAATAAATGTAAAAACTAAACACTATTCTTTAGTTAATTATATAAATATTTTTATTTATTTATTTATTTATTTTTCTATATATACAATCACACACACACACACACACACACACACACACACATATAAATAAAAAATGATGCATCCTTCAATAATTGAAAATTGAGTCTAGAGGCTTTTGCACTTTTCTATCTGGATCTCATTCTCTGTATTATTATTTTCTAGTTTTTTGTAGTAAGAGATGCACTAGGATGCCGACCTCTCCGTTTTCCTATAGCCCAGATTAGGGAAGATCTCCCAGATTTGGTGACTTTATGTCAGAGGTCTGATCCACGAATAAACACAGGCACGTGGCAAGTGACTGCTTTCGAGGTCAAATAATCACACTCTGCAGCTGGAAATCACCACGCCCGGCCTGCAGAATGAGGTCATACGTGATGCAATCCTTCATGTATGCAAACGGCGCTGAGCCATCAGCGTCTTCTTTTGCGTAAATGCACAGTAATTGACTCCTCCGCTGCATTTATTCCAAAACACAATATTTTGCATTTCTGACTGCAAGAAAGGAGACTTAAACGTGGCGTTCTCTCAGCGTATGATAACAGGCTAATGGTGTAAATCCCGCCAGACAACGTGCAACCCAGTTGGAAGCAGCTTACCCAGAAGCCACTGCTGCTGAGGCCAGTTAGGGCACTAGGCTGGGATGCTGTAGATTGTCAGATAAGATTCTCTCGCATTCCCACTAGGAGCCCTGCTCGAAAATAGCTCTCACAGGCTCTCGAAGTCCACCAGACAAAGTTGGCGCAGATTTATAGCCGGAGGCTGATACCGCTTGTCCAGTCGCTCTGCATTATTTTAGCATTTAAATGTCTGCGGCTCGTGTTAATAAGCGGGAAATGTGTGGGTGGTGCACGCCGCAGGTTTTCAGGAGTAAATGAGAGTGTAGAAAAGCAAGGTCAGTGTATTTTAGGGATTATACTGCAGTCAGTGAGGAATCCAGCGGGAGTGAGGTCATCGCACAAACATTAGTGACAAAACTAAACAAATACTGCTTTGACGTGTATTTGCACTCGCGTGTGCGCGTGGCAACATAAAAACAGATGGTTCTGTCTGTCTATTAAGCATCTGAGCAATACAAAGGACCTTTTTCCTTCCGGCATACTCTCGCATAGTGTGAACACTTATACTAAATTTAATGTTGGCCGTTTAAGTCCTTTGATACTTTCCCATTGCACCTGTCTCTTGCAGTTCACAGTTCTGTCTGAGGTGATAGACACCCTAGTGCGGCTCTCGTTTAATGTGGCCGACTGCTTTCATCGATCCTACTATTGCTGTACTGTAGTTTTTCGAGGGCTGTAGGGCATCAGAACGCCTGACTAGGCGATACAATGCGCACTGAACTGAATGCAGAAACATGAAATGTATCAAATCAGACTGATGATGAGTTAATTTTTCTTTATTGAGCAACACTCATCGTTTTTCTCTCTCCTTGGCTTTCTTTTTCTCCCTCACTAGGCGTCTGATCCCATTCCTGCCAAGAAGTCCAAACACGATGACTTTCCAGCACAGTCGCCCTCAGGAGAGAAAGACAAGCAACCCGATTGGCTACGATCCCTCTCTGCATCAGCCAATAAGGTTACAAGGCTTTTTTTTTCTGTCAGTGGATACATGTGCTTAGTTCAGATAATTATATAGTTATCCATGTATATATGTTGATAATATACCAGCCTGTTTACAAAACTTGGCCATTCCTGAGAAGATTTTTAGAGCCAAGCAACCGTTTTCTTGCCACAGAGAATCAGATTCTTCTGAAACAAGATCTCAACCCAAAATAACTGATGTTCTTTTGTAAAAAATCAATTCTCCTAAAACCAAGAGAGCCTGCAAATAGGCTTGCACAGTTCTCCGATTTCAAGCAGACACGGTGACCTCGGTGTACTTGTGCTGCTGGTCATTCTCTTCAAGCTCGTTTTATCGCACTTTCTCAGTTAAATTTGAGAGATTTTCAGCAAGCATTTCTTAAATAATGTTTTCCATGCTAAAATTGCAGGTGGTCTCTGTTCTCTGCTTTTGATTGTGTTCTCTACTGTGAAAACTTGTATGTAACACAACTGAAATTTATTATCTTCTCTCTGTCATGCTGCAGGGGCTCAACTGCATCCAGCCCAGACAGAGACCGTCTGCCTTCAGGCCATGGTCTCCAAACATCTCTGCTGGCGATAAGGAGGGAGCCGGCAGACCTGCTAACATGTTACGTGACAGGTAAACATGACAACAAATATTACATGGCACTCTAAAATACTTGATTCTGAAATCTCAGATGGATGGATAGATGGATAGATAGATAGATTGATCTCCGCCCACAAGATTTTTTGGTCGGGAAGTTCGGTATGGACTCGCTCCATTGAGGAGTAATTATGATCAGTCAAAAAATGATCGGGCCAATCAAATTGCCAGGGCAGGCTTTATACGATGATGGACAGATGATCTGCAGGGACGTAATCATCACGTTATCAAAGAGCGCTTGTCAAAGATGACTGCAGCTGGAGAATTGAGATGTATAGATTCCGCTGTCGCGTCTTTTGTAAAATAAATCGACAGCGCATTCATTTTAATAGACAAACAGAGAACTGCAATCAAGGCATTTGTCGATCGGAAAGATATTTTTGGCGTCCTTCCTACATGATTCGGGAAAAGTGTAACTTGTGGTTTCACCTTTGGTGGCACTCATGGAGAAGTAAGTAAAAGAAGCAACACTCGTTATTTAACTTTTAAAATAAATAAAGTTAGGCTACTTTCTGTATTTGAAAACTGCGCTATGCAAAGAGTTGACTTACTGCGTTGCTCTGATTGGTTGTAGGTCTACCGACTATCCAATTGAGTGTTTTTTTTTTTTCCTGTTTTTTTTCCTGGCTATTTTCGGTTACGACACGCCTCATAATCAAAGCCCAATGGAGGAGTTTCAGACTCATATTCTCTCTTGAATATGAGTATGACCAAGTCAGGCTAGGTTAGATGTGAAATCTGCTTGCATCATTATAATTTCAATGATTGTGCAACCATAGTTTTATTAAAGATCATGATGTAGTGCACAAAAGATTGTAACAATAACCTTAAGAAAGGGTGTGTGTCTATGTTGACTTGTGGGAAACCAGCATGAAACCCTCATGTTAGTCATGCTTGGCTGTGGTTTTTCTAAAGCAATGCAGCAGAAGATTTGGATCTTCTGCACAGAGGAGAATGATGCAAGCTTGTTGGCTGTTGATTATATCTGCTGCTTAGATATATGTGGTTTTAACTTTACCATCATAACTAGAGAGGGTTTGGGTGATTCACCATGTCAAGCCCAGATCAGTTTCTCTGAAACCATTCGCAACCGTCGTTGTTCTCTCCCCACCCTTTTTTTTTGTGGGTTGCAGAGATGCTTTTTTTCCAGTCAACCAGCCAGTTGGTTTTAGATTATTTACCTCTACCTATACTCTTCAAGATACTCTTCAGTCTGTGAACTGTTCCTAAAAATGAGCATCTCCTCACTCACTCCCAATCCTCTTCCACAGCTTCTACAACTACAAGAGCCTGGAGAGCACTGTGGCCCCTAATGTTGCATTGACGCCCCTTCAGAAAGGAGAACAGGCCTCTCCTTCTGCCCCTAGCAGCTCACACCCACATGGGGCGGAAAGCGAATGCGCCAGCCGTGGGAGGAAGAGGAGGCTGACGGGCGAGACCCACCCCAGCCCACAGCCCTGCCCCTCGGCCACTGCCAGCAAGCCCCTGCCACCCTCTCAGGAGGAGCGAGACTCGGACGTGGAGGTGGAAGTGGAGAGCCGTGAGGAATGTGAGTACAGTGTCGCACCCTCTCACTGTTGCTCCACCTCATTAAAGGAATGTTCCAGGTTCAAAGGAAGTTATGTATAAGTATATATAGACATGTATGCCCCATGCCCCTATATATATATATATATATATATATATATACACACTACCGGTCAAAAGTTTTAGATCGGTGAGATTTTTTATGTTTTTAAAAGAAGTCTCTTCTGCTCACCAAGGCTGCTTTATTTGATAAAAAAAAAACAGTAATATTACAATTTAAAACAGCGGTTTTCTATGTGAATATATAGTGAAGTGTCATTTATTCCTGTGATCAAAGCTGAATTTACAGTATACTCCAGTCTTCAGTGTCACATGATCCTACAGAATTATATTATAATATGATGCTCAAGAAACATTTATGATTATTATCCATGTTGAAAACAGTTTTTTACATTTTTATTTCAGGATTCTTTGATGAATAGAAAGTTCAAAAGATCAGAATTGATCTGAAATGAAAAGCTTTTGTAACATTAATCACTACCATTCAAAAGTTTGGGGTCAGTAAGAATTTATTTTTGATTTTTGGGGGGAAAGAAATTAGAAAATACTTTTATTCATCAAGAATGAGTTAAACTGATCAAAAGTTACAGTAAAGAGATTTATAATGTTAGAAAAGATTATATTTTAAATAAATGCCATTCTTTTGAACTTTCTATTCATCAGAGAATTTTGGGGGGAGAAATGGTACATGACTGTTTTCAACATTGAAAATAATCATTTGTTTTTTGAGCATAAAATCAGCATATTGGAATGATTTCTGAAGGATCATGTGACAATGAAAACTGATGTGTAATCAGCAACAGTAATGATGTTGAAAATTCAGCTTTCAAATTACAAATTACAAGTGTTTCATTAGGATTTTATTTATGTGCTTTGACAAAAATTTACTTGTCTGCTTTTAAACCCTCTGAAATGCCTTTCTTACTAGGCACTAGTCAAAATACTTTTCTTTGAAATTAATGAAAGGATGTCACATTCTTTTAATGTACATGAAGAGTGTGTTAGAAAGGCAACTACGAAACCCAATTATGCCGGTGTGTTGTGAAACAATACTGCTCGTTGAAATACATTTAGATTTTGTTCACACTTCATCTGCACACAGTTCATTTTCAGCCAACCTTGAGAGGTGGATTAGAACGGTTAACAGCTCTTGTGTGAATGCGGCAGAAAATCAATGAGGGGTCTTTCTTTCCTCATCCTTTATGGCTTATTTGTATTTGACAAGTGCTTGAAAAAAACTATCCTATTGCTGCTGACATGAATTAATGAAACCCACGTAGTCTGATTCGCCACTCAAAACCTTTTCTCTGTTTTTTTTTTCTTTACAGTCACCTCATCACTTTCCTCACTCTCCTCCCCATCTTTTACATCCTCGAGCTCCGCTAAAGACTTGAGCTCTCCCTCCGGCCCCGGAGCCACCTTACCAGCAGTTCTAACTCCAGCAAGTGGGGCCCCTGAGGGCCCCCTGGTGTCTGGAGGGGACGGGCACGCCTTGACCAACCTGGAGTCGGAGTTGGAGACGCTGAGACAGGCACTGGACAACGGCCTGGACTCAAAAGAGTCAAAGGAGAAGTTTCTACACGAGATAGTGAAATGAGGGTAAAACAGGAAGAGAAGCTCGGATCCGCCTTACAGGCCAAACGGAGCCTGCAGCAGGTATTATTCATGTAACACAAGACAAATGGATTTTTTTTAAAATCATTTATAAATCCATTCTTATGTGAATTTAATGCAACAATTTATATAAGAATTGATTTACACAACAGTACACTGGAAGTTTCATTTCAGCTTTGGAAGTCATTCATGTGGTGTTGAATTTATAGTATAAATCTATATGTAATTATATATAATTTTGATACATTTTCAGTTCGTTCGTTTTAGATGTAATCATTTATTTAATATAATGTTATATATAATTAGAATTTATTTGGATTATCATTGTTATTTTTATATATAATATGACAATAAATAATCAACTTTTCAAGGCATTACAAGTGAAAGTCTAAGCACTAAATTGTTCTAGCATTAGTCAAACATTTTTTAAATATATTATCCTGCCTATTTTCAACCATGTTGTGCAACAACACCATTCTTGAGGAATTAAGACCAACATGGTGTTCAAGTGTGGCTAAAACACACCATGACATACCATTTTGTAAAACCATTCTTATGTACATTGTTCAGTGGTAAGATTTACCGGATATCCATAATGCTTGCGATTTATAAATACACCTTATTGTTTCTTATATATGTATCATCGCATGTTCATTAAAAGAGTGAATAATCATTAGTTTATTCCCATGCCTTCCACAGGAGCTGGAGTTTCTCCGAGTCGCTAAGAAGGAGAAGCTCCGTGAGGCGACTGAGGCAAAGAGGAACCTGCGCAAGGAGATCGAGCGCCTGCGTGCTGAAAGTGAGAGGAAGATGAGAGAGGCCAACGAGTCGCGCATACGGCTGAAGAGAGAGCTGGAGCAGGCCAGACAGCTACGAGTGTGTGACAAGGGCTGTGAGGCTGGCCGTCTGCGAGCCAAGTACTCTGCACAGGTTAGTTCAATCACATGCACTGTTTCTAATACAAACGTTTCAAAATCGGAGCTACAGTAGTAACCGAAAGGTTGTGAGTTCAAAGGTGTGATTCAGTACAATTATCATGTCTTTCAGCAAAACATTAAACCACAGATTCTTCTACGGTGACTGTCCCTGTACTATTAATGTACTGGAAGTGGCTTTGGATAAACAAGTGTCTGTTTAATGAGCTGTAATCTGAAGTGTGCTTAGATTGATGCAACACGACGCTTCACCCACACACACTTTCAAATGAACTCTCAGACTGGGTGTGGCCCCGCAAGTCTGATGAGATACGTTTCATTTCTCAGAAGGAAATCGGCTAACTTCCTGTCAGGGATGTGTGCTTCAGACTAAACAAGAGAGAGACATCACTGAGATGTTTGTCTTGCATTATTGGTATATTTGTATGTCGCTGTGCATGCTGCCTTTTTGACAAAGTGGTACGCTACACTACAAGCTACTTGCTTGTAGCGTAGCTAACATGTGACATATATAAACAAACTAAAAAAATTGCTAAAATTGCAAGCAGAAAAACTGGTTCGTTTACAAGAACCATCTGACCTGAACCTAAAATGATTCGTATTAATATTGGGCTTAGATTGTAAGTTAAATATTAGATGAAGCCTGAAATAAAATAAAGGTTTAGCAGAAGTACTAATTTCTCAAATGAATTAAAGCTAAATAGAAATAAATAAAGATAAAATGACACAATTACGCAAATTACTGAAATAGCAGAGATTCACAAAAACAAATATTTCCAATGAGAGAATACATGTTTTAATAAATTGTGCAATACGATGTGACTAAAGACAGTGCTGTAGCAATTAATCTTTTATCATCATCTTTCCATGCTATATTTTCAGATTGAGGATCTGCAAGTAAAGTTGCAGCATGCCGAGGCAGACCGAGAGCAGTTGAGAGCCGATCTGATGCAGGAGCGGGAGGCACGGGAGCACCTGGAGAGAGTGGTCAAGGAGCTACAGGAACAGCTGTGGCCCAAAAGCCCCAGCAAGAACGGCACAGACCCACCACCCCCACCCGCCAAAGACTCCAACAACTAATCCTCTCTTTATCTCTTGACTCCACCCAATCCACATCAACACCGCCCTGATTGACAGCACCAACCGCCCCAATCATGTCAACTTGTATGCGGGTGAGCCCCGCCCATCTGCCTCTTAGCCAGCGCAAAACCGGAGGTTTCCTTGAACGTTTTTTGAGGGAATTTAGACACGTTCTAGACAATGTTTTACTTTGAGAGCACTAAAAATGCACCTCGCCTCCAACCAGACATAAAAATAAAGTAGAAAAAAAAAATTGATATGGAAAGGAAGAAGCCAATAGCACAAAAGCTAACTGTGCCTGAAACTGAATACATTTTGAAATGAAGACTTTTCTATGACAAATTGGTGATACCACGACAAATTTTACACAGCGATTTTTATGACGACCTGAACGGCATGCTGTCCACCCCACGTTGTAATTGGAGAGACAAGGACTCATCATCTTCATCGTCCCATCAGAAATCCCTTGAAAATCACTTCATAATAAGCTATTTAAAAGACTTGTTAGTGAGCGTGTGTGAGATAAAAAAAACTTCAGTGACTTACCAGAGCCTCAAATTTACCCCCCCCCCCCCCTTTTTTTTTTTTTTACATGTACATACATGTCATGCTGGTTAAAAAAAAGCCATGGAAACAAATGGTTACACACACTTGTATCTTTAACAATGTTAAAGAGATACTGGTCAGGAGAGCGTTGAAGGGCTTTGGAGAGCTAGAGGTGAAGAAGTTCAACCCTGTTGAAAGGGAGAGATACTTGTATTCAAGTAAGTGTTATGATCAGGCCATGAGCCCTTTCTTTTAATGGCAAACAAATGCTCCCCATCACAAGCTGCCAGTGCGGATCTTGGTGTGGAATTGGAGGTTTGTGGCTCTTGTTCTCCGTGGCGGTTTGGGTTTCTGTTCTCGTCACACTCGCGTACAGCTTCTCCGTGGGCTGAGGTGCTTACAACTGGCACGGCTCACGATTGTGGGTGGCCATTTTTTTTTTTTTTTTTTTAGGAATAAACTAAAAGCATAAAAAAATACAGCTTCTAGGGCAGGAGGTGTCATGTGATCAAGAACCACAAAATGTTCTTTTTAAGTAAATTATAATATGTAAATATGAAAATGTTTCTTTTTTTTTCTTTTCGCTTTGTTTTTTAACTTTACAATAATGAATCGCACTTTGTCATTACAAAATACTGTCTAAATGCATTACGCTCCCACACTCTCCCACACATTTATCTCAGAGAGTTTTTAGTATTCCTAAGTATAAAAATGAAATAAACGATTTTGTTAATTATATGCCATTCTAATAAATGCAATGTAATCATGTGTTTAAGACAAACTATTGTAAATAAAACCGCAAGAATTAAAAGAAAAAAGGTTCTACATGCTTGCTTGCCGAAAAGTGGATTGCGCACACAGCCGTCCTCTCAATCCGACTTTGATTCAACATTTATCATAGTTATTATCGATATATGATTATAATCGTTGCTAAAGTGTTATTGTTACCGTTCTGGATTCCTACAGGTTTTGAACATTTCCGAATCAAATTTAAAGCCGTTCAGAACGAATAGGACACACAAATTGTCTAGCATTGGTAAAAGGGAGTCAAAATATCAATGCAGGTGCTCCTCTCAGCTGTGAGCATGAGCATACCGTGTACAAACAAGACGAGGATGGATGAATGAACGAACGAACGAACGTCATAAATGCATTTTGTTGAAAATACATATATTTTATAAGTGATTTATATACATTGGGTACAATGCAATCAGAATGTATGTTACGTTTTGGCTCTTTTCATTTTGTTGTTGATGTTGTTATAACGGATGTTTTTTTCAGATTGTGTGAATATTTTATTGCTTATGTTCCTTCTTTCAATAGCAAGCTTATGTAATTTCTTTCATATGCATGGAATTTAAAAAGAAAAAGATAAAGTCTGCCGTTCATATATTCATTATTGGGCATTAAAACAGTATATGTAATTTTTGATTATGTTATGCAATATAAAGCTATTTTAACTACTTGTTTTAACTACAAAGGAAAACAAAACCCTCTCAACAATAAATTTCAACTCTTAACAATCTTAAACGCAACATTAACGGCATTACTCGTGGGCTAAATACAAACTTAATGTGCATATGCAATGCTGGAGACCCTCAAGTGCCTGTCTTTGGGCCCTTGGGGTTCCAGAAGAGGAACAATTATTGAGCTCGTTTCCACGGTGACCGACTGTAAGGTGCATTGAATTGCTTCAGTGGTCAGATGATGAAACCGGGCCGTCCCATTTGCACTGTCATTTGGGGGAGCTCTATGGTGCATTTTTTTTTTTTTTTTTTTTTTTGTGTGTGTGTGCACTCTTTTGCTCACCCCATTTTGCCAGAATGAACTTGACTATCATTGCTTAAGAGCAGCCGCAGCTTATTTGATAGATTTTAATGCCAGTCTGTCAGTATTCCTTTGATGTTTTTTTCTTCTTAAAAAAATCGATGAATAATTAAATAAAAGAAAAATGCATAGCAGAATTTAATGCTCAAATTGCCACTGGTAAAGAATTTAAATCTTATACTAAGACAGCTTTTAAATGTAAGTCAGAATAAATAAACTCTTTTCTTTCTCTGTTTTTAAGGAATAAAAATATATTTAAGAGGAGGTTACTTTTGCTATAGATGTAAAAAGAGCCTTTGAAATATGAAATGATATGCCCTGACCTGTACATCGCAGGCAACGGCGGTCTAAAGGAAGCTCAGTGTCTTAACAGTAGCAAGAGGCAGTGCGTTTTTACAGACCAAAAAAATAAACGTATAAAAAAACCGAAAAAAGTTATTTCAGATGGGGTTGTTTTGTAGTTGTTTTTACACACAAATTCATATGTGTAGTTTACTTTGTTCGCGGTTTTCTATGAAAAAGGGAGAAATCGATCACAGAGGCTCCTTTGCTCCCAATATAATATAAAAAATGTGGATTTTTTTCTAAAAGAGCCATTTTTGCTAACAAAAAGCTAAAACACAGCAATAACGACATAACATCACTGATAAATGAGCAGGATTAGCCAGTCTGACGATGAAAGTACAAATTCACCAATGTATATAACTGTGTTCTTTTCATTTTACAAAAAACTGTATCATAAATGTATATTGTGTTACTTTTTTCTTTTTCAGAATGAGAAAAAAAACATTACATAATAGTTGTTATATTTTATGTTGTGTTTTTAAAAACAAAAAGAAAGAAGATGTTTTTAAAACAATTATTTCAAAGGTTGTATTCCCAATGCAAGCATATCCAGTCTGCTTTCCCCCTTTTTTGTGCTACAAAAAAAAAATGATAGCAATGTTCAGTAGAATCTTTATGATAAATGGCTTTTTTTTTTTTTTCAGTTATCAGTGTTTTGTTACGTTCAACTAAATATCAAATACATCAGTTCTGGTTGAATCATTCAGAATCTTGTTTTTTAACAATCTGTTTTCTTTTTGTCCCATGCCGATATCATGTTAGCCCTTCACTGCTGCTATAACAATATACTATAAACTTTGCAACTCTTGAAATTATTTTTATGTAAGAGATTAATGTATGCTTTCTTCTTCTACTGATGCCACTTATTCACCTGGATCTGGCCAATTTCTCCCTCTTAGACCTCCCCTCTCCCCTCACAAGGACTATAATGTAAGATAGAGAGCTCTACGAGATTAGAGTTGAAAGTAGTTCGGCTTATATACTGCAGTGTCAGGATGTACAGTGTATAGACCCATAATCAAAAATAAAGTTGTTTGTCCAGAAATATTTTGTTCTGTTTGTTATTTAATTTCTTTCTTTCGGTTTCTTTGAAATAACATATACCTTTTTACACTTAGAAGTGTCTCTATAACCTAATTACATGTGAATAGAGGTGGAAAAATCCTTTCCTTTTATCAAATTAAAACACTGTCAAATATCCCAAAGATGCTCTATTGGGTTGAGATCGGGTGACTGTGATCGGGTGGTACCCGGTGGGGTCTTCTGCTGTTGTAGCCCATCCGCCTCAAGGTTGTGCGTGTTGTGGCTTCACAAATGCTTTGCTGCATATCTCGGTTGTAACAAGGGGTTATTTCAGTCAAAGTTGCTCTTCTATCAGCTTGAATCAGTCAGCCCATTCTCCTCTGACCTCTAGCATCAACAAGGCATTTTCAGCCACAAGACTGCTGCATACTGGATGTTTTTCCCTTTTCACACCATTCTTTGTAAACCCTAGAAATGGTTGTGCGTGAAAATCCCAGTAACTGAGCAGATTGTGAAATACTCAGACCGGCCCCTCTGGCACCAACAACCATGCCACGTTCAAAATTGCTTCAATCACCTTTCTTTCCCATTCTGACATTCAGTTTCAGGAGATTCAGGAGATTGTCTTGACCAGGACCACACCACTAAATGCATTGAAGCAACTGCCATGTGATTGGTTGATTAGATAATTGCATTAATGAGAAATTGAACAGGTGTTCCTAATAATCCTTTAGGTGAGTGTATATATACACATATATACATATTTATTTATACATATATAAACACATGAATGTAATTAATGTTAGTAATAATTAATTAATTTTTAATATAATTCAATTTATTTTCATGAAAATAGTTCTGGGAATAGTTATGGAAATAATTTGTCCATAAAGCAGACACACAACAATCGTAATTCAATAATGTTATTTTTTTAAAACAAAGAATAAAATAAAAATTAAATAACAATAATACAAAAATAATTCATTCAAAATATTTAATTTGGTTTATGTACATTTTGCGAATACCATTTGTCTTGTCAAACCCTATTTTTCTGCAATAAGACTGCGTGGCTTGACGGATGTTTCTTGTTTGGAATGAAAAAGCGTGCTGTCGTACAGCTGGGAGAAGTGCACCGTTTTGAACGTGTCATTGAACAGTGATGGCATTATTGAATCAGTGGACCTCAGAGGATAAGCATCAGTCGATTCCATTTGACCCTGTGTGTGACTGGATGTCTGGCCCGACAGACTCGATTTTGATGAAGACTAAGTGATGTTATGGGTAATGTAGTTTCTTCTATCTCCTGGGAGTATGACTACAAAGATGAAGTTGGATTGATGAATGATGAACAAACTTATTTATAAAACCAAATTTTTGAACCAAAATTTTGAACCAAATTATGGACCAAGTTTTTTTATAAAAATAGTTTTGACTGTTTCTAAAAAACGCCTTATACTGCCAGATATTCACCACTCCTACAAGAAATGATTCTGTGGTCATTCTGTCCTTTTTAAATGTCTGGTTTGAAATGCAAGATCCAACTTCTGGCTTGAAATGAGACTGTGGTTGCAGTGTACAATTATGTGCTACACACATAATTGAAAGCACAAAAGTGACTTGTTAATAAAATTCTTATTTGAGTATTTGTAAATATTTGTTTATATTTAAAATATTATTTGAATATTTTAAATATTTTATATTATATTTTTTATGGATAGATGCACTTTTATGATGGATAGATGCACTTTTATCATGGATAGATGAACTTTTATGATGGATAGATGCACTTGTATCATGGATAGATGCACTTTCATGGACTTTCAAAACAGAAACAACCATTTACAGCCAATATAAAGCTTGGAAGGGCCAGGACATTGTTTAATATAACTCTGATTGTTTTCGTCTGAGAGAAGAATGTCATGTACACCAAGGATGGCTAGAGACCAGGGTGATTAAATCATGGGCTCATTTAACTTTTTGGGTGAACTATGCCTTTAAAGGTATAGTTCAACCACAAATTATATTTGTCATCACTTACTCACCCTCATGTTGTTCCAAACCTGTATGAGTTTCGTACCATTTTTATGTTGGACACCATCCCGCTTGCAAGCTATTGAATTGGGGTTTCAGGAAGTATATTTGATAGACATTTTAACTAAAGTTCCTGTCGTGATAAAAAACTATTTTACTGCACTCAGCAGGCCCCTGGGGTCTGTAGCACCAAGCGCTGTCCCAAAATTCCACCGTCCGCGAACCCACTATTTTTATAATGGCATAAATGCCACGTGGGATGTCCATATCTCAGCTCTGGAAGGGTCTAGAGCCTCCATTTTGCACTCAGGTCTAAGTCTCATGGCCCTCTATCAGAATCCAGAGTTTCAAGAAGATCAGAAAAACTCAAAATTTCAACACGAAAAAAACGACAGTGGTACCCCTTTCAGGTTTTTTTTCGGGGCGAGAAATTAAGTTCATCCAATCTTCTCAAAACTCTGGGTTCTGATAGAGGGCCATGAGACATTGACCTGAGTGCAAAAATGGAGGCTCTAGACCCTTCCAGAGCTGAGATATTGAGATCCCACGCACTATTAATGCCATTATAAATATCTCAATATCTCAGCTCTGGAAAGGTCTAAGTCCCATGGCCCTCTATCAGAATCCAGAGTTTCAAGAAGATCAGAGAAACTAAAAAAATTTGACCTGAAAAAAAAAAACGGCAGTGGTACCCCTTTTGTTGTTTTTTTTTTCGGGGCGAGAAATTAAGTTTCTCCAATCTTCTCAAAACTCTGGATTCTGATAGAGGGCCATGAGACTTAGACCTGAGTGCAAAAATGGATTACGCACCATTAATGCCATTATAAATATCTCAATATCTCAGCTCTGGAAGGGTCTAGAGCCTCCATTTTTGCACTCAGGCCTAAGTCTCATGGCCCTCTATCAGAATCCAGAGTTTTGAGAAGATTGGAGAAACTTGTTTTTTCGCCCGAAAACGAAAATAAACGTAAGGGGTAACACTGTCGTTTTTTTTTTTTCGGGTCGAAATTTTGAGTTTCGATATCTCAGCTCTGGAAGGGTCTAGAGCCTCCATTTTTGCGCTCAGGTCAAAGTCTCGCAGCCCTCTATCATAATCCAGAGATTTGAGAAGATTGGAGAAACTTGATTTTTCGCCCGAAAACTGAAAAAAACGTAAGGGGTAACACTGTCGTTTTTTTTTCGGGTCGAAATTTTGAGTTTCGATATCTCAGCTCTGGAAGGGTCTAGAGCCTCCATTTTTGCGCTCAGGTCAAAGTCTCGCGGCCCTCTATCATAATCCAGAGTTTTGAGAAGATTGGAGAAACTTGATTTTTCGCCCGAAAACGAAAAAAAACGTAAGGGGTAACACTGTCGTTTTTTTTTCGCGTCGAAATTTTGAGTTTCGATATCTCAGCTCTGGAAGGGTCTAGAGCCTCCATTTTTGCGCTCAGGTCAAAGTCTCGCAGCCCTCTATCATAATCCAGAGTTTTGAGAAGATTGGAGAAACTTGATTTTTCGCCCGAAAACGAAAAAAAACGTAAGGGGTAACACTGTCGTTTTTTTTTTCGGGTCAAAATTTTGAGTTTCGATATCTCAGCTCTGGAAGGGTCTAGAGCCTCCATTTTTGCGCTCAGGTCAAAGTCTCGCAGCCCTCTATCATAATCCAGAGTTTTGAGAAGATTGGAGAAACTTGATTTTTCGCCCGAAAACTGAAAAAAACGTAAGGGGTAACACTGTCGTTTTTTTTTCGGGTCGAAATTTTGAGTTTCGATATCTCAGCTCTGGAAGGGTCTAGAGCCTCCATTTTTGCGCTCAGGTCAAAGTCTCGCGGCCCTCTATCATAATCCAGAGTTTTGAGAAGATTGGAGAAACTTGATTTTTCGCCCGAAAACGAAAAAAAAACGTAAGGGTAACACTGTCGTTTTTTTTTCGGGTCGAAATTTTGAGTTTCGATATCTCAGCTCTGGAAGGGTCTAGAGCCTCCATTTTTGCGCTCAGGTCAAAGTCTCGCGGCCCTCTATCATAATCCAGAGTTTTGAGAAGATTGGAGAAACTTGATTTTTCGCCCGAAAACGAAAAAAACGTAAGGGGTAACACTGTCGTTTTTTTTTTCGGGTCGAAATTTTGAGTTTCGATATCTCAGCTCTGGAAGGGTCTAGAGCCTCCATTTTTGCGCTCAGGTCAAAGTCTCGCAGCCCTCTATCATAATCCAGAGTTTTGAGAAGATTAGAGAAACTTGATTTTTCGCCAAAAAACTAAAAAAACGTAAGGGGTAACACTGTCGTTTTTTTTTCGGGTCGAAATTTTGAGTTTCGATATCTCAGCTCTGGAAGGGTCT